AAACGAAAATACACGATCCGATCGGGACTGTGCGTCGTTCCTCCAGAGCGAATAACAAGGAACACTCAAGGGTTACTCGATTTATAATGGCAAACGTACAAGAGAACTCTGACTCACGGATTCTCTGGTTCGTCGTCAGTCGGTTGGTGCACGACTCCTCCAGTCCTGTCCGCCAACGCAACGGCGAACAAAACGGAAAATTTATAGACGCGCGACGCAAATTACTGTAATAAAATCTTCCTCCAACGAGATGCAAGATGCGCCCAATACGAAACGCGTTCGAATTGTAATTACGCGAGATGCTAATGACAGAGAAAGACAGAGAGAAGTGACGACGTAGAAACGATCGATGGTGCTTTAAAAGCAATGAAGAGAAAAACTTTCATTTATTTTCTTTTTATGGCGAAGAATCATTGGAAGGAAGAAGTTGCTATTGACATCTGCAGCGTTAACTAAGAAATATTTTAGAAAGTTGATTAGATAAAGATAAATCGCAAAATTAATTATAAAAATTATCATCGGAACATACATTTATTTATGAAAATAAATTATAAAAATTATCATCAATCTGAATTATCTTCTTACGTTTTTAACCACTTGCGCTGGCAACTGATTGCGGACCATAACGAGTGACCGAACCGTACACAATAATTCGTCGCTTTCTCTTTTGAACTCGTCAGTTAGATATCATTGGATAGAATTTATTGAGAAGTAATAAATTTCTTTTGTTTTCGTTTTGCTTAGGTTATACTTGAATATAATTAAAACTGAGAAAATATTGCAACTTTGGGTCAAATATTCTCGTAATATAAATATTCCAGCGCAAGAGGTTAAATTAAGAATAGTATCATTGCCTCGGCATTGTTCTTTCATTTTATAGTAAAAGATCGTTTAAAATCTCTCTTCGATATTTACAGTGTTAATTTTTATTAGGAGAAATATTTTCGTAAAGTTAACGTTAAATTATCAACAACTCGAATCTCTTTGTTTAACTTTCGTAATATGAACAAATGCAATTTCTTTCTCGTCTCATTTTTTTTAATTCATAAGCGAATGACATCATTGATCGAAACAATGATTCTGTTTTCGTTCGTCCAATTTTCTCCATAAGACCAGCCTCTTATTCTGACAACATTAGCCTACTTCAAAGTGACACTATTATAAAAAAAGGTGATATTTGACTTGTTTCTTTCTGGAAAAAAAACTAATCGGTCCTGAAAAAACAATCCTCGTCACAAGATCTACAATTTAATTAAGGACATAAGAATTGTATAACATAATGAATGTGGGGATTCGAGAATGTGGGGATACTCTGGTATTTTTTTTAATTCCGGGAAAGATAAACGTGAACGAGGGTCGTTTCTTCTAATGAATCTTTTTGTCCAATGTTTTCACACATAGCACTAAGAATGACATTGATGAGATAGTGATGATTGGACTGCTTCCTGTATTTATAAGAAATTTGAAAGCACGAAATTGGACAGAATGTGCAAAGTTTATAAAATATGGAAAAACGCGTGTACAAAGTATCCATACAGTGGTTTTCTTTATAAAAATATTTGGTCAGTGAAACAATTTTTTATCAAGGTTCTACTTTTGGAATTATATTTTCAAGAATACGAATTTGCTGAAAAATCGGCAGCTTTTAATTGACTAACGTACGAAAATTATGCGAGTTACAACACTGGAGGAACACACTGAGGAACAAATTCAAATCGCGTGACCTACACCTACGTAGTTTGCAATATATCCCAGTACTATATGAATGTCGACATTATATCTGAGATGTTGTGAGACTAAACAGAGCAAGCATAACATCCGAATTATGCGAGTTTGATATCGACAATTTTGATCGGGAATAGATGGTGCGAGTTAATATTAATTTCACGACCTCCACGTTGTCAGATATTTAGAGTCGACTGAGTCATCGAACAGCATGATCTCCAAAGTCCTGAGAACGTAGAAACGAAGCAGATCTTAATTAACTCGTGTCCTCAAATTAACACACTACATTTCATTGCACAAAAAATAATTAATTAATTAATTTGAATCGAAATCCAGCTCTGCAAAAATGGAAACAAGTTCACGTGATTTCGCACATTTTCGCAAAAATTCCCAGTGAGCTCTCAATGAAAAAAAAATGAAAACATTTTCTACTCGCGAGAGAAATCTATAACCGTATTGAAAATGTTTGGCTAATAAAAATTCATAAAAATTCGCGATTTTTTGCGCAATTCGTTTAACCTTTAAGTAACTTTTTAGTTAGATTTCACTTCGTTTCAACGAGCATTGCGTTATACATTGAATTGTTTAAATTCACTTTTCTGCAAAGTATAAAAAATATAATTCTTTCCTTTTTCCCACGATGACAATTTTCTCGCTGGAACGCGCGAATATCTCGAAAACCTGTTCCGAGGAAGAATGACATCACTGCATTGCCAAATCATCCGTTTCTAAGAAACAGCCGTACGAGAATTCACTTCTGACGGGAGGGAACAATCAATTCCTTGAATGGAGGGTATTCAAGCTAATCCCGTATGCGTATCGATCCGGTCCTAATTAGTCTGAACTCGGCAATTTTTTCGCGCGAGCGTTCCACAGTTCCCTGTGGACGTTGTGAATGTAAATTTAAACGTTCTCTACTTTCTAAACATCTTGGGCAAATAAACAGAGGAGTTGATTTCGTTTTGGACGAAACATCAAACTGTCGGACAAACGTGTTCTGCCAAACGTCGTAATAGATCGTCATTGGAAAACTCAACAATGAAATCGAAGACGCATTTTACCGGTTTTCTTTCGAGCCACGTACGTTATTACACGTATTTATAGTTTGGTTATTGTACTTTTTAAAAATAGGTATCGCAAATTGGAATGAATTGGTTTCACGAAGGTTCTCTGTTATATGATCCCAAGGCGTAGATAGGCAAAAGGTTATGGCAATTATCGAAAAACATAGCTTACTGTGAAGAGCCGAGCTGTATCATTAGCAATGAAAAATCGTCGGCATCTTAAACTGTTGCAAAGACTTTTTAAAAGGACAATCATGTAACAATTCACTTGGGATTGTTATCTAGATTTTAAAACATAGAGTCTCTGTTTCGAACGATCCCGAGTTCGTCATTTTGAAACATATATTTTTACATCACGCAGCAGAAGAGCAAGATACCTTCATTCTAGAAATAAGGCAAGCCAAATTGTCAAAATTCAATTGTCCCTAGAAACATTGAAAAATTTTTTTTCATGACTAAATCCGTCTACCGGTTTTGAAGACCAAAGTTTCCCCTTTGCAACGAACCTTTAAAATTTGCTGTACGATTTTTTTCTCACCAGTTTATTGAATATCAAATGTTAAATGAAAACGAATACAACGACGACATTGAGGATTGCTTGAATTTTGGTCCTTTTTGTAATGCTTCTCAAAATTATTGAATTTTAAAATACGTATTTGTGAAATTTTTTTATGTTGTTGCTGCTACCTTATTGTATCTCTACAATACATTACATGTTTACGTATTAAATTTAGATTTATCTTATTACGTTATCGGTTAAAAGTGAAAGTGTCTGACTTATCATACGCTTCATCACTGTGTGTCTAACGTTAGAACGTGCAGTAACCGAATCTCTGTTCAATCTGACCTAATCATTTAATTGTTATTTCATTTCATTACAAATTTTAACAATATATATCATCATTCGACAGAAACAAACTGAAAATTGTAAATGATAATTAAACAAAAACATGTTCTTCAACGCAAACTTTTCTACTCGACGAGTCACAATCTTATCCGTCATTATTATTACAATTGGCAAATCAAAGATCGATATTTGGCTTGGAGGATTCGTGTTGTCCCTTAGATGAAACATTATTATTGGTTTATCTTACAAGGTTAATTACGAAATTAATCATTGCCGTTTAGCGCATCGCGTTAAGCTCCAATGAAGAGACTGCCAACCTTGCACAGAAGGTCTCATCGATATTTTATCGATAGCGTAACACCTATACTCCGAACGCTCTAAAAATAATCACCCTGAACGCTACGGACAATGTGAAAATCTGCGTCTTACGTTAGACCTGCATGGAAACTATTTACTCAGTTTCCATTTATAATTTTTGAGTAAAATTACGTGCCTCGATCGGATCAGAAACAAAGATTTCTTGAGATAACTATCTCAAATATTGTATTGTAAATTAAATGTAAGATCACGTACGATTTATTATGTATGCGACATAAGGTTGATCATAGTGAACTGTCGAAGAAATGTCGAGTTTTTTTAGAACAAATTTCGACACTGATCAGTTTTGTTACACGGATCGTTAATCGAAGCATTTTCAAGTAGCACGAAACATAAATGAACGATGAGAGGAGCGTCTAAAAGAATATTATATTAATTATTTGACGAGAAAGATTAATTATTTAACATTTGATCAAATTAAAATAATAACAATCTTGTAATTTTATGTGAATATAGATGTCGTTGCAGTATCGATATTTTAGACTGCAGAGTACACAGTTACATTCTAAACATAATATTTGCGATGCTGCAATTTGTTATTCCGTCAACGTCAATCTCTAGTCAATTTCGATATAATTGAATTTGAAATATATGGACATGCTGTCCATTTGTAATCTTACAGACGCAATGGATAAAATATGTCAGTATCATATCACGTTTTCCATTATTTCGCGCTATCTTATTCATTTTTCTTTATCCATCACTATTTTATTTCTCTCATTTAAGCTTCAATATAATTTTCAATCTATATAAGCAATTAGTTATTGTTTTATCATTCAGCGAAATTTATTTTGTTACTGTCATGATGATCGATCGTGATTGATTTTTATTTCTGTCATCCCATTTTTTTGCACTTTTATACGAAAAATAAGAGAATATTAAAACTGTATTTTTTAAAATACAAATAAACTGTATTTTGTATTTTTTAAAATACAAGTAAACTGTATTTTGTATTTTTTAAAATACAAGTAAAATTGTTCGTAATCAGCTTAAAGCCAGAAAGACTGAACAATCATATTGAATTAAATTTCGTTTTGTCATATTGAAGCGGAAAATAAAAGAAATTGCAACGCAAAATCTGTTGATAACACTAACAATAAACGTAATGCTAATAATGTTAATTACTCGAAGATAAACATTGTTAAGTAGTTGAAAATATTATCAAATGGTTCGCTTCTCGTTGCAAAAATGTCAGTGGTCGAGAAGAAAGGTTAAAGGTATGTTAACGAGGGAAAGTATCCCTGCAGTGCATAAATTTCAATACAGTAAGTTAAGAATATGAAGAAAGTTAGTTAAAGTATTTTTCCATTTGTTTTCGCTTTTCTATTACTGAGTGTTACTATATTATATATTAATTATTTTACTATATTTACATATAAAGTAGATTATAGCCTTTTATATTTTAACGCCTTGATTATGTTTTATTTCTCAACGGTATCATTAAGTCGATGGCCATTTTATTATGCAGAATGAAAAAAATGAAATGAAATGAAAAATATGTCATGAAGGGACAAATATGTAACAAATCATTCGTATTTTCATTTCAAATTTTTACAATCGTATTAAAACGTTAAAACATTTAATTTAATAGATTGAATTCTGCAGACAATTAAAATTTCAATTAATAATCTAGCTTTGTAATAATTAATCCTTTGATAGTGGAATAAAATAGAAATTAATTATCCCTTCGTTTTCAAGACTCTTGGCATTTCTAGTATTATTTCTGGTAAAAATATTTTTTATTATTGCTGGTAAAAAAGCTTTTTGTATTTTCAACTTTTTATAGAAAAATAAATATTAGGAATTAAGTTGTACATGCAATAAAATTCAAGATAATTTCAAATCTTTTGTCTTTGTAATTACTAAAAATGGATCTAATATTTAAAATTAACACTAACTTTTATTAAGACAAAAATGAACAAGTATATGTTGTAGCATTTTTTACTACTCCTTTTTATTTGTAACATAAAATTAGTGAAAAATTCTTTTTCATAATTGAACCCGCTATCATTTCGAAGATTATACCTTGCTTTTGTCAATAAAATAATGAAGAAAAGAAAATCATATTTTAAAGAGGCCACTTCCAGTCTCCTCTTTAAGATCATGATAATTAATTATGAAAAAGATTTTTCCAACAATTTCAGAGACACTCAAATTTTCACGATATCCGAGAACAAAAGTATACTTCCTTTCCCACCAGTATCTTTTACCAACTTAGAACTTAGTCAAAGTAAAAGTTTGCACGCTCCAAAACGACCAAGCGGATTGTTTGCGCGACTTTCATTCACGAAACTTACAACAGTTCACGATGTCGACAATTTTTTCTCTTTCCATCGAATTTTACCGCTTCACAGCGAACGCTTCCGCCCACCGCCTGTATGTTTCCATTTAAATACAACAAATACTGAAGCTCAGCAGCCGAAACGTTGAAACCAGATACGAATCTACGAGTCCACGACGTCACTGTTCGATAAAACTAATACCCGAGATTTCCAGGGTCAGCCTATTCCGAGACCCCACCGCATCGGCGAACCTGAAATACCCACGTCGCAGTATTCCGCGTCTCTGGTACTTGTTGCACCGTGCATTATCTGCAAGACGCATCGACTGGCGACACTCGGTCACAATCAGTAGCGACTCGTTGACAAATTGCGGGGCGGCGATCGTCAAGCAAAGAGAGCGAGGCAAATTGCAAGAGCAAACAAAAAGAACAGCGGGATCTCGTTTCGGAGCTCAGGTGCACGCGCACGCACCGTGTACAAACTCCCCTCGGGTGCACGAGCCCGGGGGTACGAGCGTATCGGTCGGTACATCGTCAACCGGGGGGAAAAGGTTAAAGGTGCATCCGCGGCTAACAAGTGTGAATGTACCGCGAGCCCCCACGTGAGTCAGCGCAGGTGTGATCGTACCTTTAGTACGCGAGTGGGTGGCCCGGAGGGGTGGCTTATCGACCAGGATAGGAAGCTCCGGAGGCTCAGTATTCGCGGGACCACCACCCCGTCGAAGCGATCTCTCGCCAGCCCGGGATATTACACCCGTACACGTACGCTGGGTGCTGTTCGTACTCGCGGTGCAGTACTCGCGCTCCGTTCGATTGCCACGAATCTCGAGTTCCGATGTGTCGTTCGTCGTGAGAACGAGCTCTCTCTCTCTCTCTCTCTCTCTCTCTTTCCTTTTCTCTCTTTCTCTCTCTCTCTCTCTCTCTCTTTCACTTGTGATACCGGCGTCCCCCATCGCCGAATCGACGCGCCGTTTCTTCACAGAAGAACGTCGAACGCAAAAGTCATCACGGTAAGTATCTTGAAACACTCTGTTTCTTTTCTATTTATCATTCGGGCAAGATCGAGACTGAAGACTCCTCCGCGAGGATCTAGACAATGTCGAAGAGGGTGACGCGAGAGTGTAAATAAAGTGTTCTCCGCGAACTAAAGTTTCCTCTGTTCTAAGGAGGCTAGATCGTCGAGTCTTTGAGTAGATGATTGATGGACGTGTTGCGTTGCGTTAATGGAAGTTAGCTCGCGTAGGTTGTCTAATTGCTCTGTTGTGATCGTCGGCGCAGGTGTCGTGTAAATAGCTACGTCTCTTTGTGAATCCATTCTCAACGATGCAGAAACGATAACAGACTCGCTTCTCTCAAGCGAGGCCCGAGACACGCTCTGTTCAGCGTTTATCGCCACAGTTTTCGCTACAGTCGAATGACCCAGTTGACGATCGAGGATACTCGTCGTGGATACGTGAGATATTGCCCGACGACCTGCGGTGACCCATTTATCGATTCTCGAGATTTTAATGAACTATTTCTACGATTGTTTTCCACGCGCGTATCGCGCGTGTACACCCACCACCGTTCTTCTGCGTGTCTTCTGCCTCACCCTTGTGTAAATCGTTCGTGTAAAAACTAATTATCCCAGCTAGCTAATTGTCGCAGTGCTTCTCCTACAATCAAACACCGTGAAATAAAAAATATACAAGCTCCGTTCAAACGTGTCTGCCATTGCGAACGATGTAATTTTGTGTTAATTCTTTCGTGTAGATTCTAAAAATCCGGACGTCCGTTCGTCTCAAAGGAGTCTCGTTTAATTTCAATTAAATTCCGTTGGGTCTTTCTCTCAGGTCACCGAGGGGGGACGAAAGGGGCAAAGTTCGGCAAAAGGGGCGCTCATTAAAATTACTCTGCAAATAGATACGTCAAAGCAAGCAAGGGGTACACTGACCTCGATTACCGAATCTATCGGGGCGGGTTATACGGTTATACGGTTTGGCGCTGGAACCGAGCCAGAGCCAAAGTTGCAACTGCATTTAGCGCGGCTGGCAGCCGTGAGTCAACGTACGAGGAATCTCTCGTCGCCGGGGAAGGGGGAGAAGAAGTAAATCAATGTTGTTCGACGCTCACGAGGATCCCCGGCCTTTCACACGGTCGATAATTAGGTCTCGGTGAGATTCAAGCCGGATATTCGACTCCGTTTCTCGCCGACGGGAGAGGGGAGGGAAGTCATGGCAATGGGCTGCGAGGAAACCGAAGGAGCTTCGAGCTTTAAGGTGCTGGTAATCCACGTCGCGGCGGACAGTTATCGAAGAGGAAATAGTTTCGAGAAACGACAGTATTACGGAGAAAATTTATGCGCGAATATTCGGTGGTGAAATAAATGGTTGGTTGATAAACGAGAAAAAGACGAAAATTGGGAGAATCATCAGTCGGATTAGTCGAGTGTGTGTGTAAGTCGTGGATTGAATGGTTTTATGACCAATGGAGATGAAACAATAGCTGTAAACAAAAAGCAATAAAGGGAGATTACTGAAACTGCTTCGAAATTCTATCTAAACAATTGGTGGTGTGTGGAAGCGATTGATTAGAATGGAATATGAATGAAAAATCGTTGATAAATTAGTTTAGAATTAGAATTCTACTAAAATCGAGTTAAAAAAAAAAAACGTGCAGGTGATTGATATTAAACTACAAATGACGAAACACTGTTAGTGAATTATAACTCTCAAAAACATGAAAATTCTATCGAAATCGAGAGGTCAGCGAAATACGAAGGAAATGTTGTTAGTGAATTTCGAGTTTAGAATGGCTAACGACTTACAGTTTACGAGATGTATGTCAACAAAAAATTATTCAGCGAATATCTGGATGATTAATTGAGGCAGGTGGAGAAAATGGTCGGCGTAGATTTCGTTGAAATCAGCTTAGGGTCAGCTGCTGGCCGGCGTGGAACGCTTATTTTCACGCAGTGCACGGAACACCCCTGTAGATTGGTACCTTCCGCGAAAGGGTGAACCACCTTGATGTCGTGCCACCTTCGATAAAACCGACTTGCATGCACCATGCAAAGTCGCGTATTTGCATAAATACTTCCCAAGCTATTTTCTTTTATCGTGCGGGAGTATACATGCAGCTATGGTCCCCGTTCGATTAGACATTCTATGGAAAAAGCTGACCGGTCGACGGCCTTCTTTCGTCAATTTTCTCCCCCGAACGATCTCTGAGGAATTCTTCGAAGCCTCCAAAGTATTTCATCAACATTGGAAATTGTGAAATTGATCGGTATAATTGGCAGCAACTTTTTCTCTATCTACGACAGAAACACGACTATCTATATTTGTGGATTAAAATCGATTAAGTGTACATAACATATTTAGGTGCATGTGAAAGGATTGGGTGGTTCAAGGAAAACTGAGAAATTGTGTTTTCAGATCGTAATGCATTCTAATAATCAAGAGCAAAATTCACATTACGATGGAATCGATATTATAATACGAAGATGGAAAATCATACTGAAGAGCAATCCTTACTAGCGAGTAACTGACCACCTTCTGTAAAATTAACTAAACACGCCAGATTCTTTTCCTTTCTTGAAGAAAGAGAAACTAGAATTATTTTTGTTATTCGAATCGTTGTTACGAATGGTTCTACTGTACTGACCGAATAAATAACAAAAGAAAAAAAGGGAAAAGATCCAACATGCTCGATTGACAAGTATTTCACATGATTCTGCGACAAAGATCGACTTTGAAACCGATAAAAAAAAGAAAAGAAAAAATAAAGTGGATAGTTTGGATAATTTAGACAACTAATAAATTTGAGACATTTAATAAGACGTGGTGAAACCTAATCCCTAATAGTGGTATTATTTTCTATAAAACCGGGTGTTCAATCGCGTGGCGTGGACAAGGCAAAGGGCCATTTATCGCGGTCAACAATCTGTTTACTAATTTTTGCACTCGAAACTCTCTGCCGTGTCCCGTTAATCCAATTTTCCGAATCGATAATTTTCTCGTGCATGAAATAGATTATCGATCGTCCTCCAATTATTTACGTTCTATGGCCAGGGACTGGTGATCCCGCGCGAAAGTGTATCAAATATAAAACGTTCCTTCCCTCCGTTCGTCCGTTTGCCAACAAACCGTATCAATAGGATCTCACGAACCATCCAGAATTTCAAGAGACACTCACATATTCATCCTCCGCTTCGCACATACTTCATGAGATACATACGTATCGTTTCAAACCGACGGAAGATCGGTCTCTCCTCTCGATGCGTCGAAACGCTCATGTTCGTTTATCGATAAAATCGTATTAATAGAATTCACACACGAAAAATTCTGAACTCTGGCAGTTTTCTCCACAGTTTTCAATCAAACGACGAAAAGTTCGAAACGAACGACTTAGAAAATAAAAGGCTGCCAATAAAATCGTATCGATCCACGTGCGATACTACGAATCGTTAAAGAGAGATTCCAATTGGTATTTGACATTTCCACCCTCTGAATCGTTAACCCTCTTCAAAATTAACTTAGCTCTTGATACAAAATGTCAATGTGGCAGTTTAGTTCAAGATCTCAACCATATAATTTGGCAGTGGCCCAATCTCAATGACAATAGGAATGTCTTAATTAATAAACTATGTGGAATTGGTTATTTCCCTTCCCACACAATGGACTTCTTTTTTAAGCAAACCATATATTACTCCTCTGTTGATTATTCACAAATTTCTCAAAAGCCATCTGTAACGGATCTGTGTCGAGTGCTTAGCTGTGTTTCTAACTGTGACTTAACAGTTCTCTTAGTTTTAGTTGTAAGCTCTAGTTATAAGTATGTAAATAGCAAACATCTATCTTAGTTGTAATCCTTGTACAAAAATTTGCGAAATTGTTTCTGTACTGTTAGTATGCACATGTAGAGGGTTCTATAGCGTAAATAAAGAAAAAAAAGAAAAAGCTATCGTTAACATCATTCTGATAGCGTGATAGAACGGAGAACTTTGAAACGAATGATTCGAAAAATAAGCCTTTCTCATCGTCAAGATTCTCTGATATATATATCTTTTCAAGTTTTTATAAAAAAAATAATTACATTCACCGAGGAGAAAGAAAAACACGATCTAGTTTAGAAATCATCAACTATTCTTAAGAAACTGACATTTCTAAACCATTTGGACATTTTCGTATCAAACTTAAGCGATATGAATACCAAAAACCTTCGACCTAATTTAAAGAATGAAAAAAAGAAAAAAAAAAAACGTTACGCGCGTTGCGGTAAACTCTCGCTCCCTAATATCCATTTAGGACGAAGATTTTGCTCGAACAAAAAGAACAAAAAAATTATGGTAGCTTGGTCAGCGCTACGTTGCCACCAAACGAACCGAAAAAAGTGGAACGAGTCAGTAAGAGAGAGAAAGAGAGAGGGAGAGTGGAGCGCTGTGAAACCAGACGAGTCCACTGTACGCTCGCATAACGCGCGCATATTAATCCTACGTGTTTTCACCGTTCCCTTTCCCCCCCCCCCCCGTTTTTTTTTTTTCTGTTTTCCACGGGTTCCGTTTGCAACAACCGAGCCGACGAAAACTAGAGAAACAGAGAATCGCCGCGAGCTTCTGGCAAAGATCCAAGAAACAGACTTGGAAGAGTTGGAGTACTGGTTGCACATTCGCGATAGTGTGTGTCTGTGTTTGTGTGTGTGTCTATAGCCAGAGTTCCACTCTGGTCGGTGCACATGCAGCTGCAGCCATGACACCAGGAATCAGGCCACTATCCCACTTTACGCCTTTCCGAGCAATAAAGATTACCCCTTCGTTCGTTCTTCGTGCACGTAACCTACGTGTCGTGTACGATTCCCTGGCTGGAAAATGCCGAGACACCGGACGCGCAGGTTTCTTCAACCCTTCTCCTCGAGGGGAGTCGAACTTGCACGTTTTCGAAGCCCGCGGCGACCAAAAAGGGGCGACTTCTGGTTGACAGTCCTCTCAAGGAGCCGGCCTTGAGATTTCGTTTACAACGGCGGCGGCCGG